ACTTTGTAAATACCCTGCAGGCAGTGGACAGGCCAAATGGGAGGACCGTAAATTGGTAGTGTTCCTGTCCAACTGTGTAATGGAGGAAGCATCTGTGCCCCTCGAATATATGGATGTGGAAGTACGCGTCCTGCAGATTGAGGGTAGCGTACCAGTCCCCAGGATCCAGGGAGGGAATGATGGAAACCATGCGGAACTTGAGCTTCACCATGTACTGGTTCAGGCCTCGCAGCTCCAGGATGGGCTGAGCCCCGCTTTGGTCTTCGGGTAAGGAAACAGAGGGAGTAGTACCCCTTGCGTTTGAACTCCGCTGGCACCACTTCCACTGCTCCTAGGCCCAGGAGCTGCCCCACCTCCTGCTTGAGCAGGGCCTCGTGAGAGGTGTCTCCCAGGAGGAATGGGGGCGGAGGGTGGTTGGGCGGGGTAGAGGTAAACTGGAGGGTGTAGCCCCAGGAGATGGTGCTGAGGACCCATTGGTTCGAGGTCAGCCACGACCACTCAGACAGAAAAGCACACAACCAGTTGGAGAAGGGAAGCTTTATTGAGGGTAGATCCCTGATGTGAACTGGTAGGTCGATCCCGGGCGTACAGTCAAAACTGCCGTTTCCCTGCCTGTTTGCCCTTGAAGGACCCAGGCTGAGGGGCAGGCCAAGAATGCCTCTGCAGGCGTTTCTTATAGTCCCACGACTTTTTATAAGGGGGCTCATATTTAGAGTGGGTGGCCTCGGCAGGAGCCTGCTGCGGCTTAAAATTAGGTCTAGCCGGAGCTGGAACATAGAGGCCAAGAGTCTTAAGCATCGTGCAAGAGTCTATCAGACCATGCAGTTTTATGTCCGTCTGTTCTGCAAACAGAGCTTTGCCATCAAACGGGAGGTCCTGCAAGGAAGTCTGTGCCTCACTAGACAGCCCAGACAGCAAGAGCCACGACGCCCTTCTCATGGACACCACGGAGGCCATGGACCGTGTGGCCATGTCCACCGCATCCGACACTGCCTGCAGGGTTTCCCTGGCAGCCGCTGTACCCTCCTCCACCAGAGCTTTGAACTCCTTCCTGTCATGTTCCTGGAGGGAGTCCTCGAACTTGGGCAGAGAGTCCCACAGACTGAACTCATACCGGCCCAGAAGAGCCTGATGGTTCGCCACCTGTAACTGGAAGCTCGAGGATGAATAAATTTTTCTGCCAAAGGAATTCAGCCTCCTTGAATCTTTATTTTTCGGAGTGGGGGCTAGTTGGCCCTGACTCAACCACCAGGGAGTTAGGGGCAGGATGGTTGTATAAATATTCATGCCCCTTGGCAGGCACAAAATACTTGTGTTCCGCTCTCTTAGAGTTGGGGGGCAATGAGGCCAGGGTTTGCCACAAGGCATTTGAAATTTTCGCTACCCCTGCCAGGTACCGAGGTGGACAGGACGTTAAACAGGGAGTGCGAGGGCTCCTCCACCTTCTCTGCCTGAAGGTTGAGGTTTGACACCACCCTTTTCAATAGTTCCTGGTGGGCTTTAGAGTCCTTCTGCGGGATGGAGGGAGGAGGGGCCCCAATCACCTCATCCAGGGAGGGGAAGGAGGCAGGTACAGTACTTTGCATGTCCACTGGCACCAGAGGATTCACCACCTGTTCTCTCTCCGGGTATGGCACAGAAGATGCACGTCCCACCAACTCCTTTCTCGGAGGCTGGGAGAGGGAGGCCGATGGCCGTTCCAAGGCTCCAGCCACCGAGCGAGCCCCCACCAGGGGCTGCGTCGGGGGCCACAGTGCCCACTGGAACCACTGTGCCAGCCACAGGGCCCGGTACCACTGCACCTGCTGTGGCACCGGCGGAGCAGGCTGTTTGGCCTGGCTGGCCTGACCCATCAATGGACGACTATGAAGGGAGGCTGGGCTGACATACGACCTGCCGCTGTCCCTGGGAAGGAGCGGCATTGCTGGGAGCGGTGCTAACCACACGACCGTGATCTCAACGTGGAGGAACGGTACCGCTGGTAGCGGCTCCTCCACAATCGGCTCCAGAGGGCGGATCCGCGACGGTGAGGCACCGACGATCGATGCCCGGGAGCAGTGCTGTGGCAAGGTCCTGGAGCGAGACAACGAACGGGAACGGCGTCAACGTTCCGTCGCAACTGGCTACAATAGCTCCTCTGAGATGAGGACCTTTGGCATTGTCTGCCTCAGTCCCATGGGTGTCCGCTCCTCGAGGCAGAACGGTGCCTGCAGTCTCTGTCCGTCAGAACCCAGCCAGACAACCTGGTGGGGGTCGACGGCAACCTGCATGAACTACGCACGGGATGGTCGCTGAGCGGCGAATGGTGTCAGGAACATTCCCTTGACAGTGACCGGTACCAAGGGAGGGGCGACTGTGGAGATCCCAGTGGCGGGTTGCCCCTGGACCATGGGCCCAACATTGGCAGTGCTCCTGGTACCGGCATGGAGATAACGTCCTGGGCCGTGTGCAAGGCCTCTGGCGTGGAGGGCATCCAGACATCCGGGGAAGCCTGCTCTGCATGGGCTGGGCTACTCCACTCGACCTGAGTCGGAGGCCTAGAGGCCGATGGGGACCAAGGACTGCCCAACATGGATCTAGCCCAGGTGTAGACAACTTATGGCACATGTGCCAAAGGCGGCACGTGAGCTGATTTTCAGTGGCACTCACACTGCCCGGGTCCTGGCCACCGGTCTGGGGGGGGGCTCTGCATTTTAATTTAATTCTAAATGAAGTTTCTTAAACATTTTAAAAACCTTATTTACTTTACATACAACAATAGTTTAGTTATATATTATAGACTTCTAGAAAGAGACCTTCTAAAACGTTAAAATGTATTACTGGCATGCAAAACCTTAAATTAGAGTGAATAAATGAAGACTCGGCACACCACTTCTGAAAGGTTGCCGACCCCTGGTGTAGCCTCTCCCCCGGTCTTGCTCTGGTGCCGCGGCAGAGGAGGCCTCTTCTTAGCTTTCTTGGCATGTTCCGCAGACAGGGAGCGGTGCCGACTGGTAGATGGCACTAGGGGGTCACCGCGCATCGATACTGCGGTACCTGGTATCAACTCAGAGCGGTGCGCCGAAGTCAGGGTCAACACTGACTCCATCAGGATGGCCTGGAGCCTAATGTCTCTCTCTCTCTTGGTCTGAGGCTTGAACGACTTACAAATCTTGCAGCGATCGCTGAGATGAGTTTCACCCAAACAGCATAAACAGTCAGTGTGCAGATCATTCACTGGCATCAGTCACCTACAAGTGTCGCACAACTTAAACCTGGGCATGGGGCATACCCCGGCATGGGTGCATAAACTAAACTACTAACTGCAGGTCACATACACTGAACGAACAAAAGATCTGGGGACAAGCTACAGCAAAGCTGGAGCAGAGCAGTTCCGAAACACCTTCACTGGCGGCAAGAAGAAACTGAGGGTGGGGGGAGCGTGCAGCACCCCTTATACCATGCCATAGAGGCACTACTCCAGGGGTTGCTGGGGTGCTCCCCTACGGGTACTGCTAGGGGAAGAACTTCCGACACTGGTGCACGTGGTGAGCATGCACATCTATTGTAGAATACATATGAGCAATCACACAAAGGAAAAAGTGCTATTTACATATATTTCTTTGACGCTAGAAGTCTCAAATTAGGCATCCAAAATTACTTTGATTTCTGTGTGCTTCCCTTCCACATCTGTAGAATGGGGATAGTGCCCTATTACCAGGGTGTTGTGAAAATAAAGTTTGTGAAGCATTCAGCTACAATAGTGATGAGACCCATACAAAAGCCCATGAAGAAATTAATAATTCTGTATTCAGAGAAGTGTTTTAATAGTGTGCTGTAAATAAGGAGTGGGATCATATACATTGGACAAGGATAAAACAAAACACTGAATAAGCTGCTTACGCAGTGTGAGCGCTGTTCAGTCTGTGCCCTGAATTCTGGCATTTCCTAACTTTTGAGTGCTTGGCTTTGCAACCTTAGTTAGTAATTTTATATACACCATGTGCATTCAGCTTAAATCTTCCAGCTTCTTGGACATAAACATGAATATAAAGTAATGCTAATAATTTTGAGATTAAAAGAGGGCATGCATGAAGGCTAGATTATTGTAGTTGTATTGGATATTAAAAGAGGATTTTAATAACATTCAACTCCTTTTGCAGAATGACATGGGAACCAAATTTACAAAGTACCTCAAAAACAGCTGACTTTGAACTCTACAGACATGAGGAAAATCAGGCTGAGAAGGTCGGTTTTGTGCCCAGGAAAGTAGATTCTGGGGATATTCCAGTTCTTTGTTCAATATGTCAACAAACAATATACCCACATCAACTTTTTTATCATAAAAAAGAGCACAAAGCCCTAGCTCTACTGGGTTATCATCGTCCATGGATTGAAACGGACACCAACAAACTTTTACTTCAGAGACAGCAATTAATTTCAAGACTGATCAAGTTTTCTAAATACACTGAAAGAGACAAACAGAAGATTGATTGTTCGTTAGAGCTACTTAAGAATAAATCAAAGGGCACCTCATATTTTAGCGTTGATAATATTGTTGACAGTTCTGGATACCTCAAGAAAGTAAGCAATTCTCTAATAAAAGCATTAGCAATTTGCCAAGACAAAAATTCAACATGGCGAGCAGATATGGAAGATACATTCATTGTGCTAGATAATTATGGAAATAGGTCAGATACATGTTTTTTGGGCTTATTCGATGGATATCATGGTGTATTTGCTGCTGAGACAGTTTCAGCAGAGTTTCCACTTTTATTTCTTGACCAACTGTCTCAGACTGATTCCTCTTACAAAGTGAGTGGAAATGAGGAACAGATCCTAGATTCTTTTGTCACAGTAATCAAGGA